AAGGAGGGGCAATCTCCTCCTATACCAGTCAGATCCGATTTGACGGTACACACATCATCATCATCATCATTATTTTTTTTAAAAGTTACTTTCACAGAAAAAAAAGAAAAGCCCCTCACACTAGAAGCCTGAGCTATCTATGAGGTCTCTTGAGGGGAGCCTGGCAAAAGAGGTGACAGGACAGGAAAGGTGGTCACAGGGAGACAAGAGTAGATAAAATGAACTCCTCACCCAGGTAGAGTACCCAGTTTATAAAGGTTTCTTACTTGATTTTTCCAACTCAAAACTCAAACTCACTGCCATCAGTTTGGTTTCCAAGGCTGTAAATCACATGGGAAGTCTTAAAATTTAGCAAGGTATGTGCTACTGCTGAAGCTCAGAGCAAGTGGTAATCTGTCCCCATTCACAGAGCTAGTGCATCAAGAGACAGAGGAGAGGAGGAAGGATGCTGTGTGCTGTGCTTGGATCTAGGAGGGCTGATATAAGGCCTAGTGGCAAGAAGCTACACGGCAATCTCAAAGGCAAGCCCAAGCCGTTCGAATCCACCAGCTGCTCTGCAGAAGGATGGACAATCTCCTCCTGTGTAATTAACTGCTCTGAAAACCCACCAGAGGGTCAGCTATAGATCAGTTCTGACTCGAGGGTACACAACAACATGACTACATGAGGTAAATATTGATAGTTCCTGTTTTACAATTGAGTAAACTGAGTCTGAGAGCACTTGGTCCAAAGTCCAACAGCTGAGTACAGTGGAGCTGGGATTGTCCCTTAGTTCCTGTCATGTCTAAACCTGGGTCCTTTCAATGACCCTCAGCTGCTTTCAGGAATATTTCCATGGCCTTTTGGATTTCAACAAGCCTCACCTGGGGCCTTCAGAGGCACCCTGTGTGGAGGAGCAAGGTGGGAACTCTCTCTGCAGGCCAGTCTGGCACTGTGCTGTGCTAAGTGCTCTGCCAGCATGAGCTCGCCTACCCCTCCCAGCTCTGACAGCTGGGTAACATTATTCCCATTTATAAACGAGAACCAACCAAGAGGGTCCAGGAACCGAAAATGATTTGCCATTGCCGCATGCACCTGGCTCCCCAGGTGAAGGTCTTTTTCCTTCTTCACATTACATTAGGCTCAGCTAGATGTCATTCATTCAACATAAACATTTAGTTTTTAATCAGCCGCTAAGTAGACTCACCAGCACTCAGCAACAACAGATAGTATGCACTAAAAATTATAGTATTTCAAATCACCTTGCATACATGTGGAATTTGGACAGGAAATAAGGAGGACTGGAGCAGAACTGATGTCTTTAGGTTGTGGGGTTGATGAAGAATACTGACTATTCAGGTACTTCTAGAAAAACAAACAGATCTGTTTCAGAATGCAGCCAGAATGCTTCTTAGAAGGGAATATGGTGAGACTGTCTCACATACTTAGGGTATGTTATCGGGGGGGTCATCATGCTTGGAAAAGTAGAGGGCTTGGAAAAAAGAGGAAGACCCTCAACCAGATGGACCAACAAGGGCTGCAGCAGTGGGCTACTGCATCACAGCAACTGTGAGGACGGGGCAGCACAGGCCTGTTGTACGTTGAGTCCAGCTGACTCCACAGCACCCGACAACTGAGATAAAGCCATGGTTAAGCCAGGCCCTCACTACTGGGATTATACATCCTTAATGGGAAGAACCACACAAATTAATGAGCCTGGGTTGTTATTAGATGCCAGAGTCAACAACTTATTGAAACCCTATGAACCACAGATTGAAAGCTTGACCGATCATGTGCCATCTTCCTGACCTCAGTTTCATTGTTGGCAGTAACCATGTCAACCCATCTCGCTGAAGGTCTTCCTCTTTTTCACTCTATCCCCAGCATGACGTCTTTCTCCAAGGACTGGCCCCTCCTCACAACATGCCCAAAGTAAATGTGAAAAAGTTTCACCATCTTTGCCTCCAAGGAGCACCCTGGATGTACTTCTTCCAAGGCAAATGTGTGTGCTTTTGGCAGTCCCTGGGGTATTCAAACAAAGAAACAATAACAAAATTTAATTACTTAAGACTTCCTTGTCTTTCTTGTCAGACACAGTTCTGAAGACAGAAGGGTGCCCTAGACTAAAAAGGAAGGCAGGCCAAGTGAAACAGACAAAGAGCATGTGCACATTGCCCTCTCTAAAGCCAACCTTTTTCTATTGGCAGTACACGAAAGTACCCATTTTCCATGCCTTCACCAACTCTGGTTCTGTGGACTCAACCAAAAGGTTGATCTCCCAACCTACTGTTTTCTGGCCATGCAAAGGTGGGGAATATCTATCTCTTAAGCACATGGACCAAGGAGCCCATAGGCATAGTATATCACATGCTAACCTAAAGATCAGCGATTTCAATTCACTAGCCTTTAAGTGGAGGGGGGGGGGAAGAATGGTTTGTCTCCTCCCATGATTTTGATTTGGGGTTAACCACATAGACCAATCTACCAAGGATAGGGAAGGACAGGGAGCAAAGAAGCAGATGTATCTTCTAGAATGAGTTCTAAATAGCAAAAGCCTTGCTTTGAGAAACCTTTCTCCCAGTATTTCCCCTTCTCTAGAGGCAGAAAACTGAGTAGGATCAGACTTTGATTGTTGAGTGCTTCGCATAGGTCTCCCATCTGCATTGATACTGGCTCCCACAGAAGCCTGGAATTCAGTTGCCCTTGTCTCCCAGCAGAGTGCTTTCTACCCAGGAGCCTGCAATGACTCAAGTGCTCAAAGGGACTAGGGTCTCCACTTGCCTAGGTTTGGCTTCCTTGGGACAGCATAAACAAAGCAGAGGCCTAAGGACTGAGACGGAAGCTGCCAGGTCATAAGGGCTTGCTTCTAGACAGATTCCACAGAGATTCTATCAATACTTTCACTTCCACCAGAGCTCTGACCAGCAGGGAGACCTGAGGCCAGGACTGAAGCTGTTCTTTCTTCTTTGCAGGGAATGACCAGCTCTGTGAGAAGCTGAGTGAAGGATGGAATTTAGACTTAGAAAAATACACAAGAGTATATTAAGTACTGAGAAAGGGGCCTAACAAGGAGGAAGGTGAGTGACATTTATTCCAGAGAGCTCAGCAAGGGAAAGACTAAGAGACAGGGCCTTCTAAGAATAAAGTCGTAAGAAATACAGATGATGGCAAACAAGATCAAGTGGGCTAAAAAAAGGTGAGAGGTAAGAAGGAATCTATCAAAAGCCTTAGAAATTATATGCTGGTAGAGGCACAGTATGTTTGGATTTTTTTTTCCTTAAAGAAAACGCAAGGACAGTACACTCACACAAAAAAAATAAAAAAAAATTTAATTAAAAAAAAAGAAAATGCAAGACATGGATCAATGATTTAACTGTGCAGATAATGACTGTAGTGGAGGTGGTTTTTCACTTTTCATTTTGTGCTTTTCTGGATTCTGCATTTCCAAAAACATGAAAACATAAAAAGATTTTAGGAAAAAAAATTCCAATAGGATTCTGGCCAAGATTATTGTTCTTTTTATTTTCTACTTTGAATATCTCTTTATAAAAATATAATTTCATTGTTTCTTAAGTATTATAGGTTTGTTGGTTTGCTTGCTAACAATTTTATTGTCGTAAAATATATACAGAAGAAAGTTGGTTGTTTTAACCTATTTAACCACAAAGTTTAAAAATGGAATAAGTGGGTATTAAAAAAAAAAAAAAGAGGCAGGGCCTTCTGGAACCCGGGAAAAGCACCCCACCCAAGGGAGGGGCCAGTGGGGTTAAAAGGGAAGCAGCAGCTTGAGTTGAGCCTGGGAGAGGACTCCATACATCTAAAGGCCTCCTCCACTCTGCAATTCCAGCTCTAGGTAAGCCCCTCTCCCTAGGTCAGGACGTCTGCTGGTTGGGCTTTTGGGTTTGGAGGGAATCTTCTGCTGTCTCATGTGATCTCTGGCTTGTGTAACTCTGGTGCAGACTCCATAGAAATCCAACAGACCCTGCTCTCCAAAGTCAACCTTTGAGTCTGATTCCTATTTCAGTTTAGGACCAGTCTTCTCGGAACCCACTTGGGCTTGCATTAACTTCTGGCCCAGGGAGGTTTGGGGCAGGGTGGGTGTGGTCTAGTTCTGCTCTACCCTCCGTCCTAGAATCCACTGCCCAGTGTTTCCTGCGCCCCCTGCAGGGCCCTGGCTGGGATATCATCATATACTGTAAGTTTGCGATGAGACACTACAGTATAGATGATGTACTAGTCTGGGTACCCTCAGCTCTGGAGCCCAGTAAGGAGATGCCACAAGTGCAAGGGGCTCTCTCAGCCCATCACAGACCGCCGACTGCCGGGGCACTTGGGAATGGCAAGGAAACCGTTACCATTACTGAGTTTAGTAATGGTAACGGTTCTCTTGCTGCTCCTGGAAAACGTGCCAAGAAGAAAGCTCAGGACCCTGGAACCAACTACTGAGGGGGGTAGAAAGACTCCTGCTCAGACAATGGCTGGGGGTGGGGGAATTGCTAAGTTTTCCTTTCCTGTTCTAAAGAAATAAAGGTGAGAACCAGAATGCTTCTCTTCCCATTTTATTTGCATCCATGACTGGGGTAGAATGGGAAGGGACCAAGGCCTTGGGGCTCAGGAGGCGGTGCAATTTCTCACTAAAAATACATGGGTTCACACCTAGCCTTCAGGTGGCGGAACCGAGGAGAGAAAAGATCTCTCTGCTAACGAGTGGCGACTACAGGAGAAACTCTGGATACAATGCCAGCTGGAGGGCAAGAGGGCACTGGTCCCACCTAGAGGTCAACTCCTGAGACCTCAGTAATTGCAGCCCTGGCAGAGGAACTATGGAGCCGAACTAATGCAGCTCCTTCTTCCAACTAGAGACATGGCAGAGGAAGAGCCATGCTAGACCAACTAGCCAGCAGTTAATGTCCACACTCCTCACCAGTCCTGTAAGTCCCTCAGTAGGGACCATTTTGGTCAACAGCTCTTGTCAGCAGCTCGAGTTGGGATGATGCCCTTTGAGGGGCAGCAGAGGGCAGTCACTTGAGGAGCTTCACAGAGAGGCGGAGCTGAACATCACAGAGGAAGATGTTCATGAGGTCACGGCTCACCTCCTGTGCGATGTGGGTGATCAGCATCCCCTTCTGACCAATCAGGATCCGCTGAGGGTGTGAGAGAAGAGAGGGACATGGTGAGACTCAGGGAGCCCTCAAGAAGCAGAGTAAGAACCTTCCTCTAACAGAGCAGCGATCTCTCCACTAAGCCTTGCTCCACTCACCACATGAGATTCTTTGGACACCAGAAGCTTCTGTAGGATTACCAGCTGGCCGCTTGCCCCTTCTTCCCACACCTCAGTTTCCTACACAGGAAAATATCAAAATCAGTCAGTGAGACTTAGAACCCTGCCTCTCTGGAACCCTGCTATCTGCTCTGGGTTTGTGGCTAATGCAGAGCCTCCAGACCTCCTCAATGTGCCTGTACCTGTTGCACATTATAGGGCACTTCCTGGGGCAGGTACTCGAGGAGCTTTTCCCGGATGATGTTGGCACAGATTTCATCAGGTGTCTGGGTAGTGAGGACTCCACTGTGGAACTCCCAGGGCCCTGGCTGAGCCTGTGCCAAGAGGTATTGCTGTGGATGGATACAAGGGGAATAGATAAGACATCTCAGTAACAACCAAACCTTTCTTAATTTTGTTTCCAGAGGCAAATCTAAGTCCATTTTTTAACTAGTAAAAATTAAGGGTAGGCTATGCCCAAAGCTAATGTACCCTAAGTGTTTTAACGTCCTCTTGGTTTAAAGCTGATAACATGAAGATCTCCTGGAAGTGGGGCCAGCCAGTCCTCTGATGGCCTCTCACAGGTTCTGTGTCTGGGACCATAGCTTCTGGGCTGGGTTGTGAATGGAAGGCCTGCTTCATTTTGAGCTTCTTCCCATTGACCACACCTTCAGTAAGCGCTGCTGTAAGCTCCAGGAGAACTGACTTCTGCTTTAGACAATCTACCTGTGTATGGGGAATGGGCAGAGGGAGTGTACACAGAGGGATGAAGGCCCTCAAGAAAAGGAGACCCCCCCCTCCCAGGTGGGGAGTACTCACCTTATTCATAACAAGGATACTAGGAACCTGAGAGAACTGGGTCAAGCACTGGAGCACGTGGGGACTGAGCTCTTTTCGAGTCCACTTGTCTGAGACATCCACAAGAACCACAGCTGAAAGTTGGCAACATGGGGGGTGGTGAGGAAAAAAAACTTATGATATTGATTCTGGTCAATCCCTATCTCCTGAACTACTAGTATTGAGGGTCTAGGGCATTCAGATTCCCATGCTGATCCTGACCTAAATCAGCTGATTTCATGCTCGTCCAGGGATCCTCAAGCAAAGAGAGCTCCAAATGGTGCCTGAAAGACAAGACAGTATGGGAGGAAGGATTTCCTGGCAAAGACATTTCTGATGAAGGATGGGTTATGTGAGTAGTGGGTATGCGCATGAATGTTCCTAAACCATTAACTATTGAGTCTCTCCAACTCCACTGAAACACGTTCTCCCACCACCTGTTTCCACAACTATTACCTCTTCTGCTTTTTGGGTCCAATGAGGCCAGGTGTGTCAAGTAGAATCTAAAATGAGAAAAGAGAGATGTCCAAATCCCAGGAATAAAGACTATGACTCGGGAGGAAGAAGGGGCAGATGCCAGATGCCTGCCCTTCCCTTCATGGCGAAGTTACAGATGACTTTATATTTCTTTCTAGTTTTACTCTCCACCTTTGTTTTAATTCTAGGTGGATCCAGGGAAAAGTTAATGACTGTGAATATATGGGCAGAATAAAGGGAATGAGACCTTTCTACTTAGAAGCTGGAAGGAGCAGGAAAAGGTAGACAAAATTACACCAAACCTAAATAAGAGGGTGACCAGACATAATGGAGTCTAAGAATTTTTTTCCTTCAGGGTTAATGGTAAGGAGATTCTCTTAGCTTCAACCTCTAGTCTATTTCAAGGACATCCTTTGCAGATACCCACCACCTGGGCCTCATTCTCTGTGATGACTCCCAGTGCTTGACAACGAGTTGTATGCACCTTCTTAGAAACAGGAAACACCTACCAAAACAAAGACCATCCATTAACACAAAATAAAAAGTCCGAGATAACAAGAGCATGGGGCCAAGAGTGAAGCGTACCTTCCGACCCAGCAGCTGGTTGGAGAGGGTAGACTTCCCTGCATTTGGGGCTCCCAGGAGGACCACTCGTAGCACTCGGGGGTTCTCTGGCATGTCAGGACGATGGATCAAGAGGAGATCTTGCTCATCTGAGGAGTGTGGGGGCACGAGGAAAGAGAACGGAAATGAGAAATAATAGAATCTAGATTCTGTCAGATATTTGGTCCTATCCACTCCCAAAGACAGTAACCTGACTAGTGTACAAGACAGACACTAAATCCTGGGTCTGTGTCTTAGTTTTGGCATTTAAATGATACCTAGTGATGGTAGCAGGATCTGGTAAATGTATGGACATATGTAAAAGTAGACTAGATAAGGTCAGAAATTCCTCTCAATTCTAACTATCTCCTCACCCAAAGGATGCTAAAAAGTTCTGCAAGCTTTCTCAGTCTGCAAGCCTTTTTCCAGCTTTCCCTTTTGAAGAACGGGGGGGGGGGGGGCTGTATTTACCCCAGAAATGGAGGTGTAGTTTAGTGTGTCAAATATTTAGTGGATCAAGATTGCTCCTCTTGTGAGGGCTGATTCTTGACCTAAAGCGTTTTGAACTCAAGCTCTTTTGTGAGCATCTCTGGTTACGAGCGCGTGGCCTAGTGGCAAGAAGCTGCACTGCAATCGCAGAGGTGCACGGTTTGAATCCACCAGATGCTCTCCTGGAGAAGGAGGGGCAATTTCCTCCTGTACCAGTCAGATCTGATTTGACGGTACATGCACAAAAACCCCCCAAAACAAACAAAACAACAACAACAACAAAACCACCAAAAACAAAACCAAAAGAACGAACGTGTTAGTTCCCACCCAAACGCTCAGGTCATGACTGCTTTTTGGAAAACAGTCCCAAGGTTGTTATTAGCGATTGAAAGAGCCTCCGGTGCCGAACCTTCAGTGCTAAAGAGTGACAGTCCCCAGACAAGTCTGTATGAGCCCTTTACCTCTGTGCATAGACACTGCGGGGGCACACGGAGCCAGGGAACCGTCTTGCTGAGCGAATCCGAGGAAGCGATCCAGGGCAGAGCCCTGGTCACAACGGCGAGGGGCCGAGGACAGACATGGACCTGAGGAAGAAGCTCCTGTGGCGGATGACACGCACCGCCGCTGACACCCCAAGAACGAGGGGTGACGGCGAGCCGAGTCTCTTGCGGCTTTAGGACCCAGCGGCAAGACCCCGAGCATTGCGCGAACCACGCAAAACCCGTGCCTGCCGGGGGCCGCCATTATTGCCGCAACGCACTCTGGGAGCCAGCTAGGACTGCATTACGATTAGACAGGCAGAAACGCGGAAGAGTGGGCGGGAGCTAGGTAAACCCAAACAGAGAGGCCGGACCTGGCTGCAGGAGGTGGGGCCAGTACGAACCCCTCCTGCTCTCCGGAAGTTCACGGAGGCTAAGGGAAAGGGGAATCGTAGAGTCTGTTCGAACCTAATAATTTAAAAAAAATTTTTTTTATTCCCATATACACTGTGTTTTCTTCTTCCCTTGCCACAGTTTTGTTTAAAAAAAAAAGGCGCTTCTAGTTCTGCTCCTAAAATGCTACATCTCCCACGAGGCGAAGCGGCTGAAATCTTCTCCGTTGTCCGACCACACTGAGCGTGAGAGCTTGCACTGCGTCCCATAGAGGCCAACTTATCTCCTGACTGCCTCTAGTCCGCAAAATCGCTAGTGCTGTCTTGACTTGACCAAACAGTTGGCTTCGAACCTTTGGATCCTTGCATTATGTGGGGTTCTTGTGAAGACTGTTGTATGTGGTGAAGACTGGTGTATGTGGCCTCCTCCGGCCCATGATAGGGTAGGAGTCACGCTTGTATTTGGACTGCAGACCCTATTCCTGTTTAGAGAAAACAAAATTTAAAAATCCATAGTGGTGAAGATGCTGTCTGGCCATCTAGGATTTTCCAGACCTTACCAGCAAGGATGGTGAAGCTTCATCTTTTTTACTTGG